AGGAACCAGGAGAGGCCCTGATATTTAAGCCACTCGCTGCTGAGATTCATTCCCTTCCTTTGAGGGTTAGCCTGTTTCTCTTTAGGAGGCTCTGTAAAGGAGGGAGCGAAAAAATTTGGCGTCAAGGTTAGCTTGTAACGCTCTGTGCCAGGATCTGGGATTCCCCAAGCAGAGCTGGACGCTTTCCCTTTTTTTTTTTTTTCTTTATGGTCCTATGCAATGGTTTTTTTATGGTCCTATGGTCCTGGCTGTGCTGGTGGCACCGGTACGTTTAACTGCAGAGCTCTTCGTTCCTTCCCTTTCACCCCAGTTTCAAGCTGGAAACCGCCGATACCAACGTACCCGACTTGGCGTCCCACTTCACTGTCCAGCCGCAGAAGGGCGTGCTGAGCGTCTCCGAGCGCCCTGTGCAGGTCCAGCTGCTCTTCCACCCCACGATGGAAATTAATATTGAGGACAAACCCATCCTGCTCTGCCAGGTGAGCTGCCTGGGCCAGGCGGTGTTAGCACACCGTGTCTTGGGAGCGTACGCAGGACACGTGTCTTCTGGAAGGAAGGCTTTAGCTCGTATGTATAAAATAGAGTCCTTCAGAAACGATTTGTGATGCTTCCTAAGCAGAGCCGAACGTCCGGCTCGGGAGGAGGCGTTTAAACAGGGAGGGTGAGCTGATGGGGACTTGGGGTGGGATCTGGGGGCGGAGATGGAGGCTGTACTTACCCGCGGTTGCAGGTGATTGACCCCAGCATCTCTGGAGGCGAGACCATCGCCATCATCCCGGTGAGGGTGTCGGCGAAAGCTGTGTTCAGCAAGTACAGCATTTACCCTGCCTCGCTCATCAGCTTCGGTGCCATGATGCACGGCACCAGGAAAACCTGCACCTTCAAGCTGGAGAACAAGGGCATCCTCGACTTTAAATTCGTCATCTACAGAGCGGACCAGGATGTCTTGCGAAGGAAAAGGTGAGAGACCACCTGCAGCACCCTTCCTGCCTGAGGAGGCACCGCAGCGTGGCTGCTGTGCGACGCGCAGCCAGGACACCGGGGTTCTTGTCCATCTGCGTCACGGGCTTGGGAACGGAGAGCAGAAAAATGCCTCGGTATCCCCGCGTGTAGGACGAAGCTGGTGATGTGGCTGATCTACCCACAAGCTACAGCGATAGGTGGTGCAGGCAGCCTTCGGGGGCGGGTGGACGTTCTTCCATGATGGGTGTTTTCTGCCTTCTCCTCTCAGTGTACACCAGACGAAATCTGCCCAGTCCCAAGAGGGTGAAAACTTAAGGAAAACGACTCCCTCGGTCAAGCAAAGCAAGCCCTCGCTGCAAAAGGACACAAACCCCTTCCTGCAGGTGGGTGGCCTCTGCTCCCCAACACGTGCCACTGCAGCTGGAGCCCGGGCTGGGGTCTCCTCGCCACGGGATGGGGCACGGTCTGTGTGTG